AATGATGATGATGAAAAATTTTGTTCGCTGTAAGTCTGACCTATAGGTGTGCAATGGGATTGAATGTCTGGGCGCAGCCCATAAAAGCGAAAGCGGTCGCCTAGCGAAACAGTGGCTAATCTCCTGTTGTAAGGTGGATTTTTCTGGAGAAAAATACTTTAATTTCAGACCGAAGGACACTATGTGACTGTGCATGTTTATCCATTAAGAGTATACACATAGCAGATATTGTCGCGTGACTTCGTTAAGACTACATTTTATGGCGTATTACACTGTCTGCTTCTTGTCGCCTAGATTAAAACATGTAAGCATGCGGTTGCTGCAGTGCCAGCTGCGTCTCACATCGTTATATTCACCACGTAAACCCTCTAACACGTTATGGCGTACGAACATATTTTAATGGTATTTGTGCAGTAGCACATGAAAAGTGTCAGTTTCTGAAATGGCGTTCGTGATCAGCATGAAATTGTTTTAACAAATAAAATGATGTGAGATGCATCTGAAACTGCAAGTGGTCAAAATGAAATGAAACCAAAGCTTGCTTTCGTGTACTGTCAATACAGTTCACAGCGTTGTATGCAGTTTCGGCGGTTGCTGGTTTCGTGCTCTTTGCGTTAATTTGCATATGATTTTTCAGGGTATGAACGAAGAGAAATTTGAAAGTTTCTCAGAATATGAAGCATTAGCCGCTGATACAGCCCGATTAAATAGAGTGACGAGGTTCTTCGTAAACTTGTTCAGTCGCGACATGCCGAATGGTGAGTTCTCTCATCTACTTTATTTTGCTGGCTAAAAATATGGAAACTCTCAGACTCTCCGTTAGCTGGCAGTAAGGAAGAAGTTACCGACGACAAAGCCGTCCCTGCCGATGATTCGCTAATGCCTACAATGTCTGATCCGGTTACTGACAGATTGCCAGTCCGTCAAGAAGCGCAGCAATTAGCGGTGCACTCGTTAGATCCGGAGCCGCCTGATCATCGCAGAACCCGAAGATTACAGGACTATGAAAGAAGCGATTTCCGGCAGTGCTGGATGCCCGATGCACGCGGAAAAGAATGCTACGAATGTCAGGTACTTCATGTGGTAACATTTACTGTTTCTCTAATTTCGCTGCACGTTTTTCCACTTCGGGATAATTGACATGTTAGCTCTGCTTTAGGATAAGTTTTCAACCTTTCGTCGACGGCATCATTGTCGTATATGTGGACAGATATTTTGTGCCCGTTGTTGTAAAAAGGAAGTGCCCGGTCGCCTTCTTGGTTACGGCGGAGTTTTGCGTTTGTGCGACTACTGTTACGAAGTGGTGCTGCGGTATTTGAAGACGTCGCTTTGCAAGCGTTTAAACAGTCCTCAGCAAGATGCAAGCGGGTCTCCAACATTCAGTGAGATGACCATCGCCTTTCTATCGCGTCTAACAGACTCAAGGTATTAGTTTGTTAGCCATCTCACCAGAATTTGTGAAAGTTGCTCGGTTTAGCACCTCACAAGGTTCGAACCACTGTTTTTCAGATGAGAAGCAGGGCGACGAGTTTGCAGCGGACACGCGCCCTAGAGAGCTGTGGAAAACCCCGACGATGCAGAGACTACCTGCTTCCGGTGGGGGCAGCGCGAATCGCCTACGGAACATCATCGAAACAACGGCGGCCATAAGGGGCGATGGCGAGGATGATTCAGACGGTCCTGTCTCCTTGACACTGGGTAACGATACCGAACGAGCGTCTGACACGTGCGCCGGGGAAGAGCTCGAACCGGAGTGGCTGCGAGGTATTTCCGCGGAACGAACATGTGACAAAAACGAATTCGCCGACGAGCCCTCGGCCAAAACTGACAGCTCTTCTGACAGCATGCCATTTTCTCGCCTGAAAACCTATAGCTTGAGTCTTAACTTGGACTCAGTCAACTTAAAGGTGGACAGTTGCTCAGAAAGTGCGCTGGCCCTCAGCCCGGTTCTGGATGCTCCGCAAAACGATATGGCGATCGCCGCATTTTGGAGCTCGTTCTCAGCGCCCTGTACGCCAATTTCTGTGAACGAGAAACTGCGTCGTTCATCGGCAAGCTCTTCAAGCGATGGTCTATCTGTGGACGCCATAAGTGATGCATCGCTGCATTCGATGTTCATGCAGCACGCTGAGCAGCTGCTGAAGTACGTACTTTTGCGGGAACACCTTGAACCTGAGGTATGGACGGCAGTCGTTTGGCCCTTAGCCAAAGAAATTGCCTTTACCGTTAAACCCGATCCCCAATCTCGCAAAGATGACATGAACATTCTTCGCTACGTGCATGTAAAAACGCTGAAAACGTCAGAAAAGCCGTCAGCTCAAATAGTCTTTGGTACGTATGGCTTGCCGTTGTCAGCAGCACTGAACGATTAGGATGATAATGACACAGGAGGGATCTACAAATAGCCAGAACATTCTTTTCCGTTAAGAAAGGAAAATTTTTAACCGTAGGAATGTCCGTTTTCCTTACACTTACGTCGTGGTACCAATTCAAGCACCTTTGTTTTTATGAAGTTCATAGTGTTCTCCATTGCTATGTTGTGAGCCAGAAGTGCCTTATTTTTTAAAGGCAGAATCGACATCAGCTATGAGATGACAAGCATAGTCTGTACTCTCCTATTTACTTCCCACTCATTTATCAGAGTGGCACATTTATCAAGCTTTTAAGGAAGAAGGGCGAGTAATCCTGACCAGGGCCCGAACTCAGAACCTTTCAGTTCTGAGTCTGACGCTTTACTAAATGAGTAACCCAGATCTGAAGCAACGTGTTGTAAATTGTTTGCTCAAGGGAATTCGTGGTAAAGGCAAAGATTACCTGCCGCAGTAACTGAACTCGGCATCACCGGAGTTCGAGCTCGAAACCGACCTCTTACGCACTGTGCCACTACCCCAGAATGTTAAAAAGTTTCCGTTAAGAAATTAGACGGCGTGGCCGAAAGTATTAAACCATGATTCTTATAGGGGAATAGGTAGAGAGGCTCTGAACGTTTTCTGCGTAACCAATGGGTTCTCTGCCCTTTTTAAACTGAATTTCGCGAAGTTAGAACAGGTCGTGTCGTCTCTCTTCCCTTCCGTGATTTCAGTTTCTACCACAAGGTCCCTTTTCTGTTTAATTGAGTCAGTGGGCGCCACAGAGAGAAAAATAATATCCGATATTCACAACAATAGTCATCTAGCTGTAGGGGGTCATCATGAGAACTTTAAAGAAAATGTTTTCACTGCGTTGCAGTTTTACGGTTTTCTACCATGCAAATTATGTGGTTTGTCCATTTCTCGGTTCAAGCTGTTTAGTTGATCCAGGACTTCGTTGGTTTCAGGCTTTTTGTTTTTTCATGAACATGTTATAGTGTCGTAATAAACGTGAAAAGCGTTTCAGTTTTCTGCTTATGGCAATTGCTAACAATAGTTCATGTTTATCAGCAGATTTTTAAGTTATTCTTCTCGCTATATCGTTAGTTTTTGCGCAGTGTAAGGAATTCATCAAAGACATCGATCGAAATTCGTAATGAACACTATGACATCCCTTTCCATTGCTTTTGCCAGATACTAACAGTTTGACCTTTTAGGCAGCGTTAGCAACAGAATTTTAATCATAGTGTATACTGATTGCTACCTCTTCGTTACTTCTAGCTTTTGCAGCACCCATGTCGCTGTTCAAACTTTAACTTCAGCTCATGATAACTGCGTCAGTGTATTTGCGTCTTGGTGCATGTTCCCGTTTTTTGTTTAGTGTTATTTGTGAACATTTCCTTCTTTGTACTCATCGTCTCGATCTTTTCTGTATTTAATTAAATGCCAAAAATACTTCCTTCATATTCAAGCATCTTTGCAATCTAGCTTATGCTGGTTTCTAAAATACAGACTCCACTAAACATCCGAATAGAGCAGGCACCACTAATTTTCGTAATGACTATTATAGTTTTAATCTTTATAGCACAAATACGTTATTGGATCATCAAACGTTCTGGCAGGCGCTTCGACATAATTGCACAACAAAATTACAGAATGTTATGACGACATCCCTTTCTCATGGATGCATGAAAACCTTTTAGGCAAGCAACTACTCACAGGTTTTTAGAATTTGAGTACATATATCTACCTGCCGTCATTTTCATTCGCAAGAATAAGAATGTCTTGCTCTTCAGCATTTATGTTTCAGGAGCAGATGTTCCTTAAGTACTTTTTTTAGCATGATTAAAAAGTACAATCTTCCATCGGGAACACATTAAACTTGGTTGCATCATATGCACAAAAGAGTTAAAGCAAACGGCTGTATCATACTGGGTTATACACGCAACAGCGCTGTCCTTGCTTTTGTCTGAAATTCATTTTGGAATGCCACTGTTCTGGTAATTCGGTTCCTGTAATTCATAAATGCATTTTTCGTCATTTTACTGCGATGCGTACCTCCTCAAGGATATGTTAAACGCATACTCTTCATACGCCTTCGCAGCAGCATCGTAAATATGGAATCATATGCTGGGAGAATGATAGCAAACGTGATTTCGTCAAAACGGGTTAAATATTGCTGTAAAATCCAACATTAAATGTAAAGGGTTGTGTATTTTTATGGAACATATGCATATATTAGGAACAAAATGAGCAGCTAATACTATAACTTAAATTCCATTTATAGCAGTTTTTCTACTAGTTGATACTTGGGCATTTTGATAACCAATTCTTGCATATCATGTGTTGTATTTTCACGGGGTTCAGCCGAATGGCAAATTAGTTTGTTTTGAATTTTTTCGGGAAGGTCAGGTACTTTGGCATATCGGTCGTTTCTCATTTGATTAGCTGCTGAAAGAGGTTAAAGATTTTTTTGAGATCAATCTTTGAAACTGTTTCTTCATTGAATATGACACCGAAATGCAATAGAAAGTTGCCCAAGAGAGTTGGCTTCGACTTTTCATCATCAGCCTTCATCATTATCTCGGTTTGCTGCTGGATGAGGACCTGTTCGAGACTTTGTTAAAAACTCTGTTCTCTACTATCTGTATCCGTGTTGATCCAGAGAATTTTTTTAGTTCATCTTGCCGACGATCTGGAGGCCTTATACGAACCGTTAACTCTTGCTTTGGAACTCAGAACTCAGCTTAGTTTTTCCTTCAGCTTGTCATATCCATTGCCACTAACTTTTTCACTCAGGCAATGATATCACAAACTCTTACTTGTGCTCTTGTCCATTGATTCGTTTTTCTTTTTTGTTATTTTAAACATATACCTGTCCAGACTGCGTTACGAGTGTACGGTTTATGATAGCTTTCAGATTTAGCGTCAGCGTTTCGAACCCATAAGTTCGCTCGAGAGCGTACGCTGATCGAAAGCCTTATATTTCAGCCACATTGGACGTTTCCCGAATCAGAACGTATTCAATCTTCCAAAAGCATTTAATGGCATTTTTGCTCTGATAATTTCACAGTTAGTTTTCCATTGCAGAGATGAGCTGCCTCAGATAGAGGTGGTTTTGTACCTCTTTAAAATTAGGCCACTTAATCTAAAACAGTATTCGACTTTTGTGTTATTTAGTTTTACTTACTCTCTTTTATATGTTCTTGTGTAAGTAGAAGACACGATAATGTCGGTGAAAGCAGGATTTCCCTATAATTGTTGTAGGCTAGTAAATCCAGAATGAGTACGCTACGCTGTGCTGTGAATTACATATTTGTTTATAGGTACCGCGTGCTCGAAGTCTTTGGTGGACAAACATATGCGAAGTACGTTTCGGCTGCCTAAAATCCTCGTTCTCAGGGGTCAGATAGAATACGAAAGAGTCAGTGGAAAGTTGACATCGATCGATCCAGTCATTATGCAAGAGGCGGAGTACGTCAAGAATTTGGTTCGGCGGATTCTCAGTCACAAGCCAGACATTGTGCTAGTAGAAAAATCCGTTTCGTTCACGGCCCTGAAGTACTTGCGCGAAGCCGGGGTGTCTGTTGTTCATAACTTGAAGGCGACCGTTTTGCAACGCATTGCAAGATGTACAAACGCTCAACTTGTCGAATCAATTGAGGGTCAAATTGTTAAACCTAGAATGGGTGTCTGTGGACTTTTCCATT